GGCCCAGGAGCCGGGGTGCGTGGTATCTCAGGGTCCACCTGAGTTATCTTTGTGTGTGACCACACTGCTGTATGGGAAATGGCATCGTGTGCCTTGACTGTGCTGTGGGGTGCTTCTGCAGGATCCATTGTGGGCTTTTGCATGTCCTGCGGTGTGGTTAGTGGATGAATCAGGTGGGCGTGTGGTACGTCCTGGCGCTGTGGGCGCTGTGGGCATGAAGAGGGTGAGCTCTGATGCTTCCCTTGGCGGCCCCAGGCCGGAGCTGTGCTCGGAGGGGGAAGTTGGTGACGCAGGCCAGGGCAGACGTGCTGGCATAGCTGGTAGCTGCTGAATCCACGTTAGTCACACACTTGCCCATCTTGCAAAAGAGTCCTCCAGTAGGCTTGGCAGCCGATTCTTCTCGGGAAGTAAAATGTCATCTGTGTCTGACTCCAACTTCTCTTCCCCTCTCTTTGGTTTAGAATCTGGCAGCTAGTGAAAGTGCAGTTTGGCCGACTTAGAAGGGCGGCTAGGACTTCAGCGCCACTCATGCTCTTTAACTTAAAACAAAAGGCCCTGGGTTGTCCTGGTTTTCTGTAAAGTACTGTTTTTTTTTTTTTGATTTATTTTTATTATGTTTTTAATTGGAAAGGCGGATATACAGAGAGGAGAGACAGAGAGGAAGGTCTTCCGTCCAATGATTCACTCCCCAAGTGAGCGCAACTGCCGATGCTATGCCGATCCGAAGCCAGGAGCCTCTTCCGGGTCTTCCACGCGGGTGCAGGGTCCCAAGGCTTTGTGCCATCCTCGACTGCTTTCCCGGGCCACAGGCAGGGAGCTGGAAGGGAAGCGGGGCTGCCGGGATTAGACCTGGCGCCCATATGGGATCCTGGGCGTTCAAGGCGAGGACCTTAACCACTTGCGCCACTGTGCCGGGCCAAGTACTGTTTCTTTTCTTCGTAAAGATTTATGTATTTGAAAGCCGAATGACAGGGAGGGAGAGGACGACACAGAGGCGGTGCGTCTTGGGTTCACTGCCCAGGCGTGCAGCAGTCAGGGCTAGAGCGGGTTCCTCCAGGAGGGGAGCAGGGCTCCCGGCACTTGGGCTGTCCCCCTAGCCACCTGAGCTGGGAGCTGGAGGAAAGTGGGCCTTGAGGCAGCGTTCTGAGAGGGCTGCTGGCATTGCAGATGGCAGCCTGACCTGCGGGCCACAGCACTGGCGTTTCTGGCACCCTGGGGATCACTGAGTTGGCAGGTGCACCCAACCCCGAGCACTTCCTGACTGCGGGTCAGCACCGTCCTGCAGAGGGGCCACGTGGGGAAGACGAGGTCCTGTGGGGGTGCGGTTTCCCTGGTGGAAGGTAGTCCAGTAGGCGGACAAGAGTCCATGACTGGAAATCCCTTGTGAGTTTTTTTTTATGGATGCGGTCCTTGCAGTTGTCTGTAGGGGCCTGTGGGTGAGTGGACAGCCTCACACCACGGGGGCCTGTGGGTGAGTGGACAGCCTCACGCCACGGGGGCCTGTGGGTGAGTGGACAGCCTCACACCACGGGGGCCTGTGGGTGAGTGGACAGCCTCATACCACGGGGGCCTGTGGGTGAGTGGACAGCCTCACGCCACGGGGGCCTGTGGGTGAGTGGATGGGCTTGTGTGTCAGGGAAATGTGGGTGCATGGACAGCCTCATGCGACAGGGACATGTGGGTGCAGGGTGCCCTTGTGTGTCAGGGGCCTGTGGTTGTGGCAGTGGTCTCCCACATCCTGAAGACTTGGGGAAACATCAGATTTGGAGCCAGTTGGAGCCAGTTAGAGGGCCTCCTGGGCAGCAGAGGTCGAGCCGGGCCCAGAGATGGGAAAGTGCATGAGTCGGGCCCTGAGGACACTGCTAGTTTGCTTTGCTGCAAAGTCCTGCTCCGCAGTGAGCTAGCCTGCTGTGTTGAGTTATGTTGGACTCTGCAGCTCGTGCTCCTTCTGTGTGTCAGAGCTTGTCGATGAAGCTGAGGGTCTCCGAGTCAGCCCTGTGAGCCCTGAGATGCCCACTGGGAGAGGGTGTCACGTAGCGTCGTCCTGGAGACGCACAGTGTTCTGTGGGTTAAGAGGGCATGGCAGCTGACATGGGGGATCCGGTGTAGGACTGAAGTGAAATGTGACCCCAGCAAGTTGTAGAATAATCTGTGGCGTGTGTCTCCCCAGGGAGCAAGTGACTGCAAGTGGAGATAGGGTCTTTGGAGGGAGTGGAGTGCACGTGAGGTCACGAGGGTGGCCGTAGTATTCCAGGATGGGACTTGGGCGTGTAGACACAGTGGGAGGAGACGTGGAGAACGGGAAGAGGTGCAGGGCTTGGGGAAGCTGCCACACAGCGGGAGGGGAGAGGTGTGCAGGGCGGAGCCTTGCAGTGTTGAGTCTGTGGCTTCAGGCCTGTTCTCAGCCAGCTGTGTCCTGGCTGCTCCACTTCCAATCCAGTTCCCTGCTAGAGGCCTAGGAAGAGCAGCAGAGCGTGGTCCAAGTCTCTGGGCCCCCGCACGCACGTGGGAGACCCGGAGGAACCCCCTGGCTCCTGGCTTCATAGCTCCACGCTGGCCGTTGCGGTCATGGGAGTGAACCAGTGGATGGAAGGCATCTCTCTCTTTCCTTCTCTCAAATACAGTAAAAAATACTGTATTTTTTTAACTGAATTTTTTTTATTGAATTCTTGATAATGATTGAGTTTCCTCATTTCAAAAATAGCCGTAGTAATTTGTTCATTATGGAGCGATTTTGAGGATTGAGGTTGCAAATTAGCATGAACTGATAAATAGTAGGCTAGTCAGAAATAGTTAATAAAATTTGCTTCACTTGCTTTTTCTGTGTATTGTTTCTATGTTAATGTAATACTAATAAAAATATAACTCAATATAGTTCATAGATGCAATTATAAAAATATATTTTTCCTCCCTCCTTTTTCCTTCTCCATTCCTTTTCTCTTTCTCTGTTCCTCTCTTCAGTCTTCGCTTTTTTCCCCTCTCTTTTATGTTTGCTTTAATTTGGAGTATCGTACAGTTTTAAAGAAAATATGAGTTTGAAGTCACTTGTGTCTTCTGCAGATAGATTTGGATTACTGACAAAAAGAGAGGGGAGGACTGTAATATCGAGCATGGAGCAGATACATTGTCTGTTCTTGGGGTTTAAACCTACCAGCAGGCCCCGAGGTCACCAAGAGTGAGGTGACGGGCTCTTCAGCCGAGGAAAAATTCATCTTAAAGGAAAACCAATGGAAACCAGTGTGGGCCTGGCCGGAGCTGCAGGGAGGTGGCGCAGTGCTGCTGTCTGGCCACAGGGTGGCAGCCCGACACAGCATAGAGGCACCTGCCGCTCCAGTGTGGGGCCGGTGTGGGGCCCTGGGGCCTCCCCCTTCAGCCTCCGGGAATTGGAGGGGTTGCCTGTTTTAAAAATCCTGGCGCTTTGCTATGCTAACTGACCCTAGGGCCGCTCACGAAGTAGAGCGAGGATCAGGGAATCACCACAACGAGGGAGTCTTCAGTGTTCAGAGTGCTGTCAGGTTTTGCACATGAGGAGGAGTGCGGAAGTGCATCTGCTAGTTTCATGATCATGGTTGAATGATAATAGAAAAGAGAACTTATGAGTTAACTGCAAAGAAAGAGGTCAGGCCCTGGTGCTCCTGGTGCAGAGTTCCCGTGTGGTACATGTGTGTGACAGCAGTGTCTTCCCACTTGACGTTGTCACCAGTGTACTGCTGGCCAGCTGCAGAGCGTGAGGCTAGGTCGACGGTGGTTCTCTGGGTGCCTTGATTTGTAGGACAAAGAACGCCAGGGAAGTCTTGTTCTGCAGAACATATTAAACACGGAGGGGAGTGTGACTGTCCCAAGTCATGTCGCCCCCTTAGTGAGAAGCGGCACTCCCGGGCAGTGCCGGCATCTCAGGCTGGTCCAAGACCGACCTTCCGGTTCTTCCCTTTGTCCAGGGCAGAGTGCCTCTTTCTTCCTCCTCCAGAGACTGGGACTCCCACAGAATTGTGGGTGGTGCCCAAGCACTTCTTCCTTGTCCTCACAGTCTCTCTTGTTTCCTGGCCCGTGCAGGCCTGCTGAGTCGGAGCCCCTGCGGGGGGCTCAGAACCAGGCGTTTGTTGACGTCGGGATTCCCACGCACACTGACCCTCCAGAGTCGCGCTGTGTGGTTTTGTTCCTTTCATCAGAGAAGTTACATAGCATCAGCTCTTTCTTTTTCTTTTTAACATTTATTTATTTTTATTGGAAAGTCAGGTATACAGAGAGGAGGAGAGACAGAGAGGGAGATCTTCTGTTCAGTGATTCACTCCCCAGTGGCTATAACAGCTGGAGCTGTGCTGATCTGATGCCAGGAGCCAGGACCTTCTTCTGGGCCTCCCACATGCATGCAGGTTGCAAGACTTTGGGCTGAGCACAATTGCTTTCCCAGGCCACAAGCAGAGAGCTGGATGGGAAGCGGGGCTACTGGGATTAGAACCAGCACTCACATGGTATCCTGGCATGTGCAAGGTGAGGACTTCAGCCGCTAGGTCACTGTGTGGGGCTCACAGCATCAGCCCTTAACCCCCTGCCAATCCCAGGACATGGTAGCCTAAAATCTGACACTTCTCAGCCCTGCAGATTGAGCGCTCACACATCTGAAACACGCATTTGTGAGTTTTTGAATGTCAGTAGTTGAGGAGCATCACACATTTAACTTTGGTAATGCTTTGGGTTCATTGGCAAGGCTGTCTTTTGGGATGTTTGTCAGCCAGCTGATTCATCAATGAAGTGGGTTCAGGGTGGGAGGATGTATCACGTGACTCACAGCCCCACCCACAGGACTGTCTCCCCTGGCCCCGTCCCACTCCCGCCTGCACTGACTACCGCTGCAGTTGTTAGCACTGAGTCAGGCGGCCAGCTTGCGGGACAGACTGTGAATGAGCCTGTGCTGGCCCCGCCTGCTTGGTGCCTCCTGCTGCTTACGGGCGGATGGATGGGGTGCACATGCTGAGTGCTTTGCCATCTCTCTCCCATAGATCTGGAAAGGAAAGACCAAGAGCTAGAGCAGCTGAGAATGGACTGCGAGCACTTTAAAGCCCGGCTGGAGAGTGTGCAGGCTGACAGCGCGCGGGAGAGGAAGGTACGGAACCCGGGCCAGCCCAGACGCCAGCTTTCCCTCCTCCGCAGCACGACCCTTCGCTTCCCCACTGAGAGTCAGTGTCTTAAAGTGTTTCTATCCTGAGTCAGTTGGAAGGCAGCAGGAGAACAGTTGGATTTTATAGTTATTTATGTTTTTAAAGATTTGTTTATTTTTATTGGAAAGTCAGATATACAGAGAGGAGGAGAGAGAGAGAGGAAGATCTTCCATCCACTGGTTCATTCCCCAAGCGGCTGCAATATCCAGAGCTGAGCAGATCTGAAGCCAGGAGCCAGGAGTCTCTTCTGGGTCTCCCACGAGGGTTCAGGGTCCCAAAGCATTGGGCCGTCTTCCACTGCTTTCCCGGGCCACAGGCAGGGAGCTGGGTGGGAAGTGGAGCTGCCGAGATTAGAACCCATGTATGATCCTAGTGCATGCAAGGTGAGAACTTTAGGCGCTAGCCACCGTGCTAGGCCCTCTGGATACCTTTGATTTTCATGTTTAAGAAAGTCCAAAGTGTATGGGTTCATTCTGGAATAAGGATCTTGGGGAGAAGATAAAATGCATGTAATGACTTCTATCTGGAGATAGATAAGTCAGAAGTGTTTTCAGTTGGTTCTGGGACTGATGACTGACAGTAAAAATAACCAATTTTGGGGCCAGGTGCAGTGGCCTAGCGGCTAAAGTCCTTGGCCTGAATGCACCAGGATCCCATATGGACGCGGGTTCTAATCCCGACAGCTCCACTTCCCATCCAGCTCCCTGCTTGTGGCCTGGGAAAGCAGTCGAGGACGGCCCAAGCCTTGGGATCCTGCACCCACGTGGGAGACCTGGAGAAAATTCCTGGCTCCTGGCTTTGGATTGGTCTAGCACTGGCTGTTGCGGTCACTTGGGGAGTGAATCATTGGACAGAAGATCTTCCTCTCTGTCTTTTCTCTCTGTATATCTGACTTTCCAATAAAAATAAATAAATCTTTTAAAAAATAGCCAATTTTGGGGCTGGTACAGTGTTGTAGCAGGTTAATCCTTGGTCTACAGATATGCCATCCTATATGGGCACAAATTCAAGTACTGGTTACATCACTTCAATGCAGCCCCTGCTTGTGGCCTGGGAAGGTAGCGGAGGATGGTCCAAGTGCTTGGGCCCTGCCCCCATGCGGGAGTGCTGGAGGAGGCTGCAGGCTCCTGGCTTTAGCCTGGCGCAGCTCTGGCCTTCGCGACCGCTTGGGGAGAACCCAGGGAGTTTCAGACCTCTCTCTCTTCTCTAACTCTGCCTTTCAAATAAAAAGAGATAAATATATGTTTTTTTTTTAAAGATTTATTTTTATTATTTTTTTTATTGGAAAGGCTCCAAGTGAGCGCAACGGCCGATGCTATGCCGATCCAAAGCCAGGAGCCTCTTCCGGTTCTCCCACACGGGTGCAGGGTCCCAAAGCTTTGGGCCGTCCTCGACTGCTTTCCCAGGCCACAGGCAGGGAGCTGGAAGGGAAGCGGGGCTGCCGGGATAGAACCGGTGCCCATATGGGATCCCGGGCGTGCAAGGCGAGGACCTTAACCACTTGCGCCACTGTGCCGGGCCCAATATATGTTTTTAAAAAGTAACCGACTTTAACACTGAGAGACCATAATATTTCTCAATAATTGTTTTTGTTTTTTGATAGATAAACTGTTTATTCTATAAAACCAGAACCATTGTGCCCTGCTGGCAGGCTCTGGGGGTTGGACGCATTTCAGTTCTGGCCAAGGAGACAGCAGCAGCGTGGTTCAGAGCCGCCCGGGGGCGGTGGGCGCTGACTGGGGCCGGCTGTCAGCAGCTGTGTGGTCCTGTACATCTCCTAGCTCAGGTCTGTCAGCTTGCTGTCCAGCCTCAGTGCTGTGTGCCCAGCTGTGTGCCCAGCTGTGTGCCTGCGGCCTTCTCACCTAAAGGATTTCTGGACACTTGTGCTACAACACAGGTTTCTAAAAGCACAGTAGATTTGAAAATAAAGAAGCTTGTTTATTTAAAAAGCAGAATTAAAGAGAGAGAGAGAGAGAAGAATCTTCTGTCGTCTGGTTCACTCCCCAAATGCATGTAACAGCTGGGGCCAGGCCAGGCCAGAGCCAGGAGCCTGGACCTCCATCCAGTCTGCTGTGTGGCACAGGGCCCAGAGCTGGGCCACCGAATGCCTGCTTTCTAAGCACCTTAGCAGGGGTCTGGATTGGAAGTGGGGATGCCAGCATGCAGCTGGCGGCTTCATCTACCATAGTGCATGTTGGCCCAGTAGATCCAGCATGGATGTTGGTATGGGCCGAGCAGAGAAGGGCAGTGTTGTTTGTAAACCAGAGTTAGGTTAAGCAGCACATACTTCAGGTTAACGTTTTCATTTCATCCTATTCTATATGGTGGTCTGGGTGTAGCCTGTTGGGGAGGGGGGGGTGGGCGAGCGCTCACAGGTGCTGGTGGTCTGGGCGTGGGTCTGTCGGGGGGTGGGGGGGGGGACGGGCGCTCACAGGTGCTGGTGGTCTGGGCGTGGGTCTGTCGGGGGGTGGGGGGGGGTGGACGGGCGCTCACAGGTGCTGGTGGTCTGGGCGTGGGTCTGTCGGGGGGTGGGGGGGGTGGACGGGCGCTCACAGGTGCTGGTGGTCTGGGCGTGGGTCTGTCGGGGGGTGGGGGTGGACAGGCGCTCACAGGTGCTGGTGGTCTGGGCGTGGGTCTCTCCTGTAGTGTTCCATGGCCTGTCGGGTGGACAGATGCGGCCTGCTCCTCTGCCTTAGAATGCTGAGGCTGTGCTCAGGTTAGGACTTAGGATGGACAGAACTTCGTTTTCTTTTCTGTCTTAATTCTTAGGCATAGGAAAACTAGATATTCTGCTGACATTTTAGATGGATGCTTAAAACGAAGCCATTCCAGTAACTGTTGGGGTCGGTTGAGATGGTGGTGTTAAGGAGTTTGAAATCTCCAGGGGTGACCTCCTGGCGCTCTGACCTTGGTTGGATTGTGGGACTGTGAGCAACTAGTATGTCTAGGTGATTTTCCTGTTGCGTGTCCTTGCTGTGTAATGGAGACAGATGCCCGTCCGTGTCTGTTCTGGAAGGCCTCCCAGCTGTCCTCTGGCCTGCCCTGCTCAGGGGGTGATGCAGTAATTACAACAAACATTTTATTTTATTTATTTTTTAAAGATTTATTTAATTATTGGAAAATCAGATATACAGAGAGGAGGAGAGACAGAGAGGAAGATCTTCTGTCCAATGATTCACTCCCCAAGTGAGCGCAATGGCCGATGCTATGCTGATCCGAAGCCAGGATCCAGGAACTTGTTCTGGGTCTCCCACGTGGGTGCAGGATCCCAAGGCTTTGGGTCATTCTCAGCTGCTTTCCCAGGCCACAAGCAGGGAGCTGGATGGGAAGTGGAGCTGCCGGGATTAGAACTGGCAGGCCATGGGTCAGGATCCCATATGGGATCCTGGCATGTGCAAGGTGAGGACTTCAGCCGCTAGGCCACACCACCGGGCCCCAAACATTTTATTTTTAAACTTAATTTTAGAAATTAATTTAAGCCAGGTTTTGCCACACCTGGCTCACCCTCTCAGTGCCCACAGCAGTGCTGGGCTGGGCTGGGCCGAAGGCAGGAGCCAGAAGCCCTGTGTGCTTGTGCCACGTGGATGGCCAGGGCCCAAGCACATGGTCCATCCCTGGAACCACCAGGAAAGAATCCAGAGACTGGGCCCCTGAGTTAGGTTACTTGTTACCTCATTATAGGTGGGCTGTTGGGACCAGAGAATCTCTTCTGAGTGTAGTACTGAGAGGCCGGAAACAAGGTGTGGATGCACAGCTGTGAAGAGCAGCATGAGCTGGAGCCCCTGGAGCCCCTGGAGCCCCAGGCCCTGGGCAGGCCACGGGTCAGGGAGGAGCTGGAGCCCCAGGCCCTGGGCAGGTCATGGGGAGGAGGCTGTGCCCACAGGAACTTCGCTAGAGATCTGAGCTGCCCGCAGTATGCGCTGTGGTCACCAGGGAAGGGCATAGCTGCCAGTCCACACTGGGACAAGCTACTGGCCCTGGTGCCCACTGCTACCTTGTCTGCTCCTGGGTTGTCTTCCCATGGGCTGTGTCTTCCAGGCAGGAAGTGGGAGTGGACCCCTAATTTCTAGTTAGCTGTGGTCTTGCTCCTGTGTCTCTAATTTGTAAGAAAACAGAAGAGAAGTGGTTGTCAGCAAATACTAGTGACAGCATTTCAAGAAGTGTCCTGTAGGAAATGTGAGCTGGCAGGCTGGAAGGATTTGGGGTGGGCAGCTTGGGCAGCTCTTCTGTGGGAGAGGGCCCGTCCCTGTGGGGCAGCCCGGGTGAGAGGTGCTTTATGGGCACCGTGACGTGCAGTTGCCTCAGCCTAGGGTTTGACACTGCTGTGCCCCTGGCATCTCAAGACATTTAAGTTTTTTAGTGAAAAGTTTGTTTTGTGTGTGTGTGAGTACTCAGATTCATGAGAAATTTCAGGAAGCACGGGAAGTCCACCTTAATCCTTTATTTAGTTCCCCTAGTGGTAACATTCTTTGTAATCCTGATGAGATGGGAGCCAGGCAGCTGGCTCTGACAAAATCCCTGGAGCTTCTTCAATGTCCCCAGGCTCACCCGACTTCTCCCCTTTCTGCGGTTTTGGGTACACACCTCTGTGTGGGTGCCAGAGCTTCTGCGTGATTCTGCCATTTGGATTCCCATGGCGTCTCCTGCAAGCCCCTGGAGCTGGGCCTTTGTAACCACATACGCCCTGCTCTCTGTGCCTGGCCCGCCATCAGCGATGCCTGCTTCCTGTAGATCCTGTCACCCCGTGGGTGGCCAGGCGGCGTCCCGGCTGCTGCTCCCATGCTGGTGACCGGATGGGCCGGCCACCCGGCCTCCAGCTCTCTCCCCCAGGACACCTTGGCTTCCTTGCAGGGTTGTGCTGTGACTAAGGCTGCTGCCACATGTGCCACGTGGAGGCTTTTGTGGGAAGGTTTATTTCCTTTTCCCTGCCTTAGTGCCCACGCGC